TATAAAAGTTTGAATAAGATCACCATATTACTTTTAATTCTTATCGGATGTACGTCTTCTAATGGCCATGAAAGTGCTCATTATATCTTCTTCATCCCCATCTTGTTCTTGAGTGTGCTCGTCTACCATAACCGGGGAAGAAAGCAATTTAGAAGCATTCTTCTTTGCTACATGTTTTCCAAAAAGAGATGCAATCAACAATCTACTATATAATACTACAATTTAATATCACAATGCAACCAGAGTTAAAATTTTAAACATAAATCTGAAAAAGGTAGAAGACCTAAAATTGAAAAACGAAGTAGTGTTGTTGGTCGTCGCGGTCTCACCTCACAGAATACCGAAAGTCGGAATGGGGAGCATGCAGCCGCGTGGGCAGTGGAGAGTGGCGGAGAGCTACTAGCCGGCTGCTGTCACTGGGACGCGGCCACGCGGGCGGCGGCAGCAGCAATTGGCGCTCGTGGCGGGGCGGCCGAATGGCGGCGACGCTCGGCGATGGTGTGCGGAACTTGCGGTCGTGGTCCTCGAGTCCTTGTTGCGGAGTCGGCTATCGGGCATCGGCGTCGCACCTGTGATGTGAGTCGCGCGGACGGTGGAAGTGGAGTGAGTCGACTCGAGTGAATCATGCGTCGTGATGCCGCGCAAAAAACATGGCGATGGAGTCAATCACGTAGCAATGCCGTTATTGTCGCGCGACTCTTCGGGTGCGTGCACCGGCCTTTTTTTTTTTTGTAAATTCCAATACGCAGAGAAGTAGGAGTGGGTCGGTTGCCACTTTTTTTGGGTGGTTCCTATTTTTAACCACCGATCAAGGGACTAGGACACACTAAAGGTGTGGTTGTATGGTTGTAGAGTCGTTGATACAAACTTTACCCACCATGAATCTTTTCCCACCATGAATCTTTTGTCTTCATAAATATTACACACATGCGAAAGTGCTTTAATACGAATTTAGTGGGTCCCTCTAAACATGTGTTTGTGAGCATGTGCGGGGATGTGGGAGTTAGTGTGGAGCGCGTGGTTTTAAATGCCGCCAAAATTTTTTATAGTAGCTCTGTTCTTCGCTGACGGATCTTTTTAGTAGCCGCCAGTGAAAACGCCGATTTTTGTTGGCGGATATTTAAGAGATCCGTCTAAAAAAAGAGTATTTTTTTATGGCGGACCTAAATACAAACCTTTTTCTTTTTTAATAATTTCATGGCATGACTCTATTTTTTCTTTTTAATGTCATGACCCTAAATAGATAAGATCCAGAGCAGCTGCATTTTTTTTCAATCCAAATTCAAAATCAATTTAAATCGGCATCAGATCCATACTCAAATCCACATACAGATTCATCACATTTTCAACAAGCAAACTGCAAAATATGCAGATGAAATTGCCAACACCGCCGGGAGCTGCTGCCAAAAATGCTGGCCATGCGTCGAGCCGCCGGCGGCAGCTGGATCTGCAGCCCGTGCCCGGAGCCACCGCCGCGCCACCCACTACCTGATCCACCGCCTCCCGCGCCTCGAGCCGCAAGCATGTGGATGGATACGCTGCCCAGGAGCATCTCCGCCGCCGGATTTGTCGCCCGCACGCCGCCAGGAAATATTTTACAGACCATGGGCCTGCTGAGCAGCCATTGCTGTGGCTGTGGATGCACACCGCGGCCACAGCTAGTAGCTTAGGTACAGCCGCAACAATGGCTGCCAAGCAGGGCGTGTATTATTTGCATGTATTTATATGTAGGATTGATGATCCCTTGCATGTATACACTTTTTTTAGGTTCGAGGGTAATTATTTTTGCATTTTTGAGCTTACATATAGTGGAAAATTTGTTATGCATCAGAATTCGGCCATAACATACGAAGCTGGCAAACACTATACTATGCTATATTATCTTCGAGGTGGAGTTGGTATTTGTAATCGTGTGATATGCATCCTTACCGATCCTAACATATCATATATGCTGATACATAGACACCATGAGATGCTCAATTATATAACATTCAGTATTAAACACGTTTTCTTTTGCTGCCAAATTTACCAACGAGAAAAATATACAATACCTACCGGGCTGCAGCAAATCAGGACAACAACCTCTTGAAGAACCGCGGCAGTAGGGCAAGAAGCGGCAGCGCTGTCGGGCCCGGTCTTGCGGCGTGACCGTGCGAGGGAGGCCTGCTGGGTGGGGAATGGTAGGGCTAGGGATTTGGTCGGGGAGCTGTGGACGACAGGACACGGGAAGAGGGGAGGAATGGGGGAGATGAGAGCGAGAGAGAGAAGGGCACCTCGTCGGCGGCGCGCGTGCTTGAGGTGCAGAGGTCGGCAACGGCCATGCCGTGGCAGCAGCGATGGGAATGGGGGCAAGGGAAGGGAAGGTGGGGGGATTGGATGGTTCGAGCGACTCGGGGAGGGAAGTGGAGCGGAGCCTCCCGGGAGATAAGATTTGCGCGGAGGCATGCGTGGCCTACGCATTGGCACCGCTGGCTTCCATCTGGGCCGTCGGCTTCCCAGCCGACGGAGTTGGTGTCGGGGCTCGGGGCATGGTTTTTGCGTTTTGAGGGAAATGCGTTTCATATGTTTCCGACGAGGAGTATTCTAGAATAATACCTACTACATCTAGAATCATGTTCATTATTTATTAGTGTTGTTTTTTTATTTCTTTCGATGAAAGTAGGTAAGGTGTCTATTTTGATTGGTAATAAAGAACAGAGTTTACATAAATATTACATATGCTCTAGCAGATAAATAGTTAAAACATAACGATTTTTTACCATAACGGTGGAGGGAGCCAAACTAGAAATTAAGAAATTGGGAGTAAACATTAACCAAAAGTGCATGTATGATTGTTATGTAAGATTTATTGTTATATATTTCAATAAACATTATTGTAACATGAGTCATGTATCTTCTCGTTTGCAGAAATAATTGCATGGGTGAAGTAAAGGGGGCGGGTATACAGAGTGCTTGGATGATCATAAAGTTGATCAGGGACTAACCAATATCCTTCCCCAAATCTACTTCCATGATACCACGTCATTTCTCATCTATAGAATACCAGAGATAAAGTTCTACACTTTTTTATTTGGATTCGGCCCTCCTAACAGCATCAATTTTAAACGGACATGCCGCTGAACTAGACGGACTCTTAGGGTCCATAAGTACTTGTTAAAATGTTTATGGAGTCTACTTTCAAATAGTTTTGGTCCCATGTTAAAATTCTTCCTTGGATGTCAAAAATCTGCAAAACAAGCCACGTGCATCATCCAATTTGAGTTTGATTTGGGCCTTAGACCTTGTAATTATGTCATGGGATAAGTCCAAGGACTGGACACCCTAGGACATCCCTAATCATACTTATTCAATAGCCATCAAAGTTTAGAGTGGTTTTTCTATCGTCATGCAGTTTCAACGCTAGTCAGTTTGTAGAATTCTAACTTCAAGTTCTTAATCATTCATCTACAATTGAGTTACAATCGACTTTGTTCTTGCTTGTGTTTTTCGATTCGCATATAGAGATTATCCTTCTCGGCGAAGTCAATCAGGTTTTAAACTATTGATAACCAAAGGAGATATAGAATTATGATTGGAGGGTTTGAAATCATGTTGATTGGAAGCTGGATCTTGTATGTCAAGTTTCCGCAAAAATCGATAATTATCTTCACTTGATGGAAGATCGAACACTCCCTTGTCATCAATCGATCAAGATTTTTGTCATCATCGAAACTTTCGATGTTACATAAGGCAGACGCTAGGATGTAATTTATTTGTTGCTTATGTTGCAATAGATTTCCTTATATATATGTAGATCATAAAAGGGAAAAAAACAATTTTTACTCTATTAAGCCTTGTTTGACCGTGGTATTGCATATGAGGATGATGACATGGAAAAATTTCCCATTCCCCCTTTTCCCCCTTCTTTTCTCTTCATCCCCCACCGTTGGATGCGCCAGTGGCAGCGTCATGCAAGTAGCAGAGATAGGGAGGTAGCAAGAGAGCGGTGTTGGCCATCAGAGAAAGAGGCACCGGTAGCGGGGTTGGCCCGACGGCAGAGCAGATGCTCAAGCTAAAGCCGACGATGGTGATCACGAGCTCCCCGTCGTCTCCCTTCTCTCCACCTCGAGCTCCACTTGACGGTGACCAAGAGCTTCTCCTCCTCCTCCACCTCCTCATCGTGCGCACTCCTAGTGGACGCCACCACCTCCGCTCCTTCGCCTCTTCGTTGTTTTCACATGCGTCCCTGGTTCGTCGTCGCCGCCTCCTCTTATCTGTCTCGTCTGCCGCCCTTCGTTGTTGTCACGGGTGCCCCTGGTCATTGTAGTCACCTCCTCTTGTTTGTCTCTTCATCTCATCCGCTACCTCCTCTCCTCCTCTTCACATGTGCCCCCGGGTATGCGCCACCTTCTCCTCTTCTCCATCTCTTCCTCACCGTTGCGTGCACTGGATCTGTGCCTCCTCCTTCGACTTTTCGCTGAATATGCGCTCCTCCTCATTACCAGCCGGCCGGAGCAAGGACACACTGCCCCAAGGGCGGAGTGGCCGATGACCCGACGTGGATATCCGACGGCGATAAGGTTGTTTGCGGCCATGGGAGGGCGGAGGAGGCATCGGTGGCTGTAGAGAAACCCTCCCTCACCCCTAACTTTCCAGAAGCAGTAGCAGGCGATGACAACGGCGGTGAGGGAGAGGAGGTGGTGGCAGCATCGAAGCAGCAACAGCAGGCAGCGATGACTACAGCAACAACGGAGAAGAGGCTGCAACTGGAACATCGAAGCAGCAACAGCCGACGGTTGGATGGTGAGAGAGGAGGAAAAGGGAAGAAAGGAAAGAGGGAGAGGAGATTGGTTAGGAAGAGGAGCTCCCAAAAAATAAATAATAAAATGAGGGAAAGGGGAAATTTTGGCATATTATTGTCCACGTGGCATGACACGTAGGCAAGATCATGGTCAAATAAGGCTTTGGACCGGGATGATATAATAAACCGGGTTTAGGGATTTCAATACGTGCTTTGCAAGTTCATGAATCTAGGTAAAATCTATTTACATGTTAAGAAAAAAAACCGCTGGTGCAATTTACTCATCAATACTTAAAAGGTGATGTTATTTCTATCCCTTCTCTCATAAGGCACATATTTGAAACGGACTTTCGAAGCCACCGATGATAAATGGAATATGTACTACAGATCTTCTTCTATTTGTTTCCAATATGATATATTTTTTTTTATTCTAAACCTTCCATATAATATTTTGATATTTTGTGAAAGATAAAATTTGCTACAGATTTTTTGATATTTTTTCCGAAAGATTACGGCCTTTGCTGTGAGACACCCGAAGATCGTGTATTTGCTCGTGGACACTTAAAAAAGTGGTAATTAGCTGCTGGACACTTCTCCCATTATTTAATTATTTTCGATCGAAACAGAGAGAAATTTTGGTTAAAGACAAGTTTGCCCATGGGCCCAGTTGTCAATCTCTCTTTCTCTGTTCTTCTTCGTCTCTTTCTCTGTTCATCTCATCGCGGGCTACCAAGAAGGATGGCGCCAATCGCCGCCGAGCCGTCGTCGTCCCAATCTCATCCACGTTTCATTACCTCCTCAAGACACTGGTTTCATTCCCTCTAATCTCATCCCTTTCCATGCAGTGAGTCGACAGGAACGCCTCTGTGCACATGGATGCCCAGGAGCGTGCTCCCAGGGTCACCGCCATGTCGACCTCGGTGTTCTAGCCGCCGTGGACCAAATTAGGACGAGCCACCGCGCCATCAGCACCGCCTTGATCTCCCCTCCAAGACCCCCCAAGAATCCCAACCGGAGACGCAAGAGGCATGGAGATCGGCTTCCTCTTCCCCGGTGTCGATCTGAAGCCGTCATCACCAATCCCTCCTTCACCGGTGAGCGCACGCATTGTAGAGGCGGTCGTGGACGGCGAACTCCACGGCATGGCCCTGCTCCAGCGTGACACCGCTGCTGCCATGGAGGACCTCGCCGCGGAGGCGGAGGCGGAGCATGAGGCGCTTTGAGTAGGGCTCGGTGAAGACGAACTCCGCGGCGGCGAGGACGACGCCGAGGCGGTCGAAGTGGCAGAGGAGGAGCCTCATGAGCTCCGGCGACGGGCAGTGCAGCACGTCGGCGTGCGTCGAGAGAGAGAGAGGGAAAAGAAAAGAGGAGAGAGAGAGAGGAAGCCGTGTGCCGGGATGCCGCCGTGCGTCGTCGCCGTCGGCGGCGAACCCTGGTGATGCGCCGCCGCCGCCGCCCCTCTGTGGCCGAGCCGTCCTGGCTCGGGCCGGCCACCATCGCGCCTCTGCTCGGCTCAATAGCAAGCGTGAGGAAGAGGAAGGGGAAAAGAAAAGAAAGAGGGAAGGGGCATTTTGGTACTTACACAACTCTTTCTCTCTCCATTTTAACCCGTAATAATAAAATAATGGGAGAAGTGTCCAGCAGCTAATTACTACTTTTTTACAGTGTCCACAATCAAATACACGATCTTCGGGTGTCTCACAGCAAAATCCACAATCTTTCGGTGTACTGTAGCAAATTTTGCCTTTGTGAAAAGTTCCCTTTCTATAGAACCTCGACCGGGGCTGCTCCACTAGCTCTCTTCTTCCCCTCACCTTGCTCTTCTCTAGCAAATCCTTGTAGTCTTGTGAGCGGTGGTGGCAGGTGTATCCTAGTGACTTGCACCAAGTTCTTCTCCTGTTATATTTTATAGATGCAATTTATGTTTATAATAGACAAAACTTAGCAATTCTGGACCTCATTAATGCACACACGTCCGCGTAATAGCTAGGTATGATTTGCGCTTCTTAAATTCATTCTTTTTCAGTTTTACAAATACTGTCATCCTTGATAGCCCCATGTATTTACATTTTACTTCATTTTATTTGTGTCCTTCATGTCGTACTTAGAGTTTTATTTATAGCTATATATGTGAAAATTTATAGTATCTGAAGTTCCCGTGAATGCAAGGATTAACTGTTTGTTTAACCAAATCCTGCAGTTTGTTGTAGCTAAATTTTGTACCCTATAGTTGTGTGCTACTCGTTACCACCCGCATTTTACATTATCAAAAGTGCATAACAGACTTTTAAATCTGAATGAATTGTCGAAACATCATAACTAACCGCACGCTAGCTTTTTTGGTTTACTTGTTTAACCGACTTAATTACTTCAACCATCCCCACAAAAAAAAAACTTACTTCACCATAAAGTACTGCTTTTGTATGAATGATTTGTGTATATTTTATATTAAACATTTTTCTCATCTAGAGTCGACGTCACTTCCTCATCATGTTTATTTGATTTGAAAGGGACGGAATGCATAAACAGGAGACCATTATTGGTACTAATAGGTGCAAGCAGGGGATTCTCTTAAAGGTCTACTTCCTATATAAAAAATCAAACTAGGGATAAATCTGATCACATGTAAATCTGTGTTCAGATTTATCGTTAGATTTGATTTTGTTTGCACAGAGGGGTATGGCAGATACTTGAAGTAACAGGCATGTAATGCTTCTTCTGGCCGTTCACGATAAAAATAGCAACTACAGATATTTTGATCAAGATTTTAAAAAACTGCTCCATAAAAAAAACTATAGATTTAGTATTAAATTTATCACAAAACTATATAATTAAAGCAAGTAAAAAAACTATAGATTTCTAAATATAAAATTAGCACAAAACTATAGATTTTAGAGTTTAAATTCCTTGTATTACCATTATGTCGAAACTATGAGTGTTATAGAATTTTGACTAAATTGGTGCTAAATTTATTTTTTATGATAACTTTATTATTAAATTAGTAGTTTTGTGATACGCCATCTTAAATTTGTAGTTCTGTGATAAATTAAATGCTAAATATATAATTTGTGATATACCAACTTAAATTTATAGTTTTAGGATGATTTAGTCAAAGTATTATTTTGTATCTTGTATTGCGCATTGCAAGATACATAAATATGAAAATGTCCACTCTCAATTAATACTCTAAACTATTTTTTCTGTTCTATATATTTGCCTCTTGCATAAAAGAATGTCTATTATGTATTCATTTTCTTAGGAATATATCGAGGAGACAAATAATGTTTTTGTATGAATGATTTGTGCATATTATATATCAAACCTTTTCTCATCCAAAGTCATCACTTCCTCATCACTTTGTCCTGTTTATTTGATTCGACAGGGACAGAATGCATAAACAAGAGAACATTATTAGTGGCAGGAGATTCTATTGAAGATCTGTGGCAGCTACTTGAGGTAACAAGGCAAGTGATACTTATGGTCCATTACTCGTGACGAAAATGAGATCGATCGTTTGTGTATTCATGTCTCAGTATTTATTTACAAGATATACAAATGTGAAAACGTCCACTAATATCAATTACTCCCTCTCAGGTAAAAAATAATTATCATTTTAAACAAAACTAATGTTAAACTTTAAAAACTTTAACTTTGAATAACTTCTAAAGTATTTTCCTTAGATCTTAAAATGTATTTTAATAAAATCATATATTTATTAGTACTTCTATAATATTGTAATGATCTCTATTGTAATAGAAAATAGTGGTAAAAATTAGTTTTTGGAGATCGTGTTGTTATATCCAGAACGCCAAGTATTTTTAATCTGGAGGGAGTATTACTCTAAACTATTTTTTTCTATATATTTACGATCTCTTGCATAAAAACATGTTCATCATATACTCATTTTCTGACGAATAAATTACCGATCTGAAGTTGATGCCAAAATTTAGGAATCTCGTTTCCGATATACCTTTCAGCCTCTATCATCAGCATCTTTTTGGGCAATAGACTAACCCTCACATATGCAGTGAATTTCCCACTTGTTGCCTCCACATGAACTCCTCCACGCCATTCTTCCTCTTTCCTCCTCACTACAAGCCCTTCCTCTCGCCCTAGCTTCTCAACTCTGTCCAGAACTGACCTGGAATCCGCACCCGGCACGACGAATCGAACTCGATCTGGCAATGGACCGATCAACCCGCTTAGATCGCATCCCGAGGCGAACCCGATTATGTCGAAAGCATTTAGCTCCATTGCTTGCTCCAATTCAGCCTCCCAGCCTCCCATTTCTCCACCTCTAGTTTAGAATGAGAGGATGCAGCTTGGATCATACCGAATGATGACAAGCTCCCATCTTGTTGGAACCAAGGGTGATCGAAGATTTCACCAATCTTGATACGGGTATCGGGTTCCGGTCAAGCATCCGCCCGATAAGAGAGCGGAGCTCCGGCGAGCACCATTTCGGGCACCGGAACTTGGCGGCGCAGATCTTCCGGTACATGGCCATGAGGTTGCCGTCGTTGAACGGCAGGTAGCCGGCGGTGAGCACGAAGAGCACGACGCCGCAGGACCACACGTCCGCCTTGCCGGCGTCGTACCGCCGCTTCAGGAGGATCTCCGGCGCGACGTAGGCCGACGAGCCGCAGTGCGTGGCGGCGAGGCCGTCTGTGGCGCCGAGTTGCTGGTCGGCGTCAGTGAACGTGCTAAGCCCGAAGTCCGTGAACCGGAGGTCGCCACGCTCGTCGAGGAGGAGGTTCTCTGACTTGACGTCGCGGTGGAACACGTCGAGAGAGTGCGCGTGCGCCACCGCGGAGGCCAGCTGCACGAAGAGGCGGCGCGCCGCGGGCTCGTCGTAGTGGCCGCCGCCGCGGCCGTCGAGCGCGGACAGGACGCTGCCGCCGCGGGCGAGCTCGAGGACGAGGTAGAGACGGTGGAGCGGGTGGTGAGGACGTCGAGGAGCCCCACCACGTGCGGGTGGCCGCGCACGTGGCGGAGCGCGGCGACCTCCCGCTCCACGCACCTCCGCGCCGCGGCGGCCGCCTCGGGCGAGCGACATGGGTGGTAGTGCGGCTGCGGCTGCTTTCGGATGGCCTTGACGTACGGCGACATGGGCGCCCGTGCGGGCGTCGCGCGCGCAGTACACCTTGGAGGAGGCGCCCCGGCCGAGCACGCGGCCGAGCTCGTACCGGCCCTGCAGTACCTTTGAATAGCCGTCGCCGGCGCCGTTGGCCGCCGGCGACTTGTCGTCGCCGGCCGGTGGCATCTCTAGCCTCGTGAAGTTGGAGAGGAAATACGTAGCTACTCCCTCCATCCCTAAATATAAGTGATTTTAGTTGGATGTGATGTATCCTAGTACTATGAATCTGGAGAGGATCATGTCTAGATTCGTAGTACTAGGATATATCCCATCCACCTAAAATCCCTTATATTTTGAGCAGAAGGAGTACAACACTAATAGACTAGTTCATTATAAAAGTTTAAGTAGATAGGTAAAGATGGGTAGTTTACTTACTACTCCCTCCGTTTCATATTATAATACTTTCTAACATTACCCACATTAATATAGATGTTAATGAATCTAGACACACATATGTGGGTAATACTAAAAAGTCTTATAATATGAAACGGATGAAATACTATGTTCCAACATTCCCCTTGCAAGGATACTCAATAACCTCTAGCTCTAATACCATATTAACATATTTATAAGTTATATGTACTTATTAGTCCAATTCAAAGGCTTAATACAGATCCGAAAATGCAGGTTATGTACTGATATATATTCCCTCCGTACTCGTAAAGGAAGTCGCTTAGGACAATGTTTAAGTCAAATCTTGAGAATATAAATCATGAATAACTCTCGAGTTGTTGAGTTTGAAAATGTAAAAATTATATGAATAGATTTGTCTCGAAAAATATTTTCATAAAAGTATACATATATCACTTTTTCAATAAATATTTTTATAGAAATAAGAAGTCAAAGTTATGTTTTGGAGACCGTGTCGCTGTCCAAAATGACTTACTTTACGAGTACGGAGGGAGTATTCCGAAAACATTAATTAAGCATTAATGTATAATCAAGAAGGGTAATGATGCTACACGATGGTGCAAAAATATATTAGTTTTTTTCTTGTACCTTTCAAGCAATGCTTAACTATTTGATCAAATAGTTAAGCATTGCTTGTCTTTGCCTTAGTTATAAGTATAAGCCAATTTTGATTTCAGAGTTACTTTAAAGTTTTCTTCGTCGATTTAGTCACTCAGTTGTGGTTTTAGAAATGCTAAAAATGCAAAAGGTTTACCTAAAATGATCATCCGTGGTAATGATATATTTGTTGTTCCTTTAAAAAAAACATCTTTGTTGTTGAAACTTTCTTTCTATATAATTAGTATCCACTAAGAAACATTAACTCATATAAAGCAACACTTTCTAACCATTACATTGCAATATTAGAGCAAAGATAGCAGTCGTTGGATAAGAAGATACATAACCACTAGAATAACCATGTCGTTATTTTTTAAGAGAACATGTTGTTATTGTTTTTTGTTCAATTCATTCCTAAGAATTTTCACATATCAGCTCTAAATATATTAAAAATATTTATCCACAATTAATATATTTTAGCTTGATTTTCTTCTCAAAATCTCACCGCAAAGTGTGTGGGCTTTTATGTAGTTAAACAAAAATACCTCTCAAACATATATGATAATAATGTGCAGGAAACTGGATTTGTGTGTGTGTTTCATTTTTCCCTTTTGGATAAAAAATTGAATAGAGAAACAAGGTGCTCAGGCCCTGGTTTTTCTGGTTTTTCTTGTGAAAGTCATGTGATGTCCCGTTGGATTGGTTGATTTGATATACACCAGCTGGTCCATTGAGATTTGAAGGCATGGAAGCCACAACTTGCAACTGCTGCTATCCTGCACTAAATTATTAGTTTGCCTTTTTAATCATAAAATTAGGAAATTGATTTTGTTGCAATATCTATAGATTGACTGGACTTCTTCTAAAGTGATATAGAAATACATTGTAATAATTGACTGCGGTTTTGTTATCTCAGATGCAGCAACTAGTTTATTCATTATGTAAAAAAAAAATCATTTTCTGAATTTCATGATACTAGAGTCTTAATCAGTAAAGCATAACCAAATTATTCATCAGACCTCCCTACTTATAATAAAAATCTATTTTTAAATAATATTGCATATTATTTACTATGTTTTGTAAATCATATGTAATAACCGTAGCAATAAATTATTACAGTTCTATTATATAAAAATATATCGTATTAAGAAAACAAAAATATTCTTATATATCCGACCTGAACGTCAACTACGAATTATACTTATGCAGACAAAATAGAAAAATAAAATGGAACTGATGTAGTTTGTGCGAAAATTTTTAATATTTACTGGCAAATTCACAGGTTAATTAGCGTCTAAGTTTGCCTGTCATGCACTTAATTTTCCAAAGCTTTTCGTCATTAGTGGTGGTTTTATGGTGTTGGCCAGTACTTCACCTTGTCAAACATAGATATTTTATTCTTAAATCAATGGGAGAAACCAGTATCAGATCAATATTATATAATCTCCTCTCCTTATCTATCACTAGTCGCTGCCATGTGGGCCAGGGCTGCAATGTGGGATCCCATTGTCAGCCTCACATTCGGGCCCACGGCTCAGAACCCGCGCGCCACGCGTGTGAGCTCCTCCTCTCCTCCTCCACCGGCGACCGCATATAAGCCGATCGGCCGACCAACCTTCTCTCTCTCGCCCTTGTCTCGTTTCGCGGAAGAACCGAGGAACCCCGCCTCGGATTCGACGGGAACGGAGGTGCCATCTCCGGCGCCGGCGAGAGAAGTCCTCGACGCTGTCGCAATCCAATGAGCCCCATTTCCATTCAATATGCGTTCTGTAATCCCCTCTCAATGCCGTCTTTAACACAACCAAGAACACCTCATTTGGTGCACCCAATCTCCAGGAACGCGACCGCGTCAACTCGGAACACCGTAGCGCTCTGGACGCCGCAGCTTCACCTTTGCCTGTCGCCCGGCTTCAACAGTTCGTAACAAGCTGAGCCACTTCGCCACGAGCTTCATCAACACCTTCAGATCAAGAATCCCGAAGTAATCGACGCGAGGTGGACCACGATGGGAGATCCTCTTCTTCTTCCCCAATTCCGGCCGCCGACGCCATTCCTTTCTTTCTCCTTCTCTGGTCAGCTTCGGCGCAATCTTTTTCGCCTAGAGCTACCTTGTGCTGATCTAAACCGAAGCACGTACCCTTTCTATGCAGTACAAGCCCGGGGGTACACCGTAGCAGCCGCGCCGTCGCCGAACCAGTACACCATCGCCAAGACTTCGCCGAGCCGCGTTCGCTTCTTGGTGAGTCCCTAGAGTCCTTACCATACGCATGCACGATTAGATCGAGCCTCAAAACCCACATGCATGTGCAAGCCGAGCTTAGCCACTGCCTCTAACACCCTAACAGCCGCTATAGAGCACCAAAGCTTGCAATAAAGCCACCAATGGGTTTGTATGGTTGTTCTCTACACTTTTCGTTTTGGGAGCTTGAGCTGAATCGCCGCCGTTCGCCGCCGGTGATGCTGTGAAGCTCGCGGCTGTGCTGCTACTCTGCTCTGTCCAGAGCAAGGGCATGGCTTTTAAAATTTAAAGACTCCCAGGGATGTATTAACAACTCGAGCAGTCACTTACAAGTGGGACCAATACTAATCTGTAAATAAAATAAAACGCAAGTGTCGTTTTGCATAAAAACCTAAACCACGTGCTAGGGGCTGCGGGACCTATTTTCCCAAGAACCCAGGGGCTTATGCGAAAAAGCTTAGTCGCTGACTGGTGGACCTGAGAGAGTAAATGATTTGAGAAGATTGGAGAAAATGCAAAACTTGTTTCTTATTAACTGAAAAATGACAGAACTTTAGAAATTTGTAGAAAATTCATCCTAACTATAAAAATTGAAAACTAAATTTTGTTGGAATCATATTTTCATGCTCTGCATATAAAAATGTTTAACTTAACAGAATCATAAAGATTTATGTCTCAAAAATCCGAAATGCACTTAGGACCATATTTAACATGTAAACACTTTAAAAATCTGTAACTTTGAATGTAAATTGTTAGATTGAAGTTTCTTTCATTAAAAATCAAATTAACACAGAGCACACCAACTCCATAAAAAGCATTCATTTTAGAGCATGTTGGATTTTTATGTATGTTTTAATTTTAATTTTTGCATATGTATGTTTAGACGATTCGCCGCCGAGTCTCGAGGAGATCTACTTTGGAGCTGAACAAGGAGTGGAAGAGCAAGGCAAGCCACCTCCCCTCTTTGATCACATTGAACCTATGATTTGGTGGTTTTTGAAAAGTTTGCAAAATATGCATGTCTATTGTACACTAATCCATTAAAATCTTGTAAAATTTGTTAGATCAACTCCTTTACTTGCATTATCACCTAAACTCCACAAAAGACCTTAACCATTATTTCAAACCTTAGGAACAATTGATTGTGTCACATTAAGAACGATGTTTGAAGTCACAAGTCTATAGAAATGCTTAGCCATGCTTAGTGATGAGTTTACTTACCATTTGGGCTCAATTACATATATGAAATGATTTATTTTGTGATCTGAATTAAAATGATAAAATGTGATATTTGTTAAATAAAATGTTGGAAAATGTGGATTTTAAGTTTGGGCCTCATGTGGTACACATATGGTGTTTAGTTGTGTGTCGATAGGGGGAGAATGTGCCCAGACCGACCTAAGGACTTCACTCAATGTCAGTTCATTTTGTATACAGTACAACCACATGTGCTAGTATGGGATAGCCCAAGCTTAGTAAATTATTTATGGTTTAGCCTTACATTCTGGTAGGCCGGTGTGTATGAGTTCGTATAATTCAGAGGAGCTTCCTATTTACCCCGAAGTGGTAGTTTAGGTGACTAAGTGTGTCCAATACAATGCTATTGTGCCACGTGGTGTGTTCCCGTTGTGTCTGCCACCACGGCGTTAAGTTTAAGGCGTGGACCTGCCACTTAACGGTTCTAGGTCATATATCGAGTATGGCTTAGGATGGAGTAACACGTATCGTGCTGGTGTAAGTGCTGGTGTAAGGCTAAATCATGAATCTTGGAAGGGCTTTGTTGTGAGTAATAAATCGGGTGCTTATGTATCGCGTGCCATGCTTTTTGCATGATTATTATTTCGCATCATGTGGGTAAAGTGTACGTACTCTGCAGAGTTAAAACTAATCGATTAGCCGTGCTCGCTGTCATGAGCGGCGTGTGAATATGTCATGAGTATAGACATGTGTTTTATTCTTCTAAAGCTGAATTTGAACTTCAAAATGTGATGTGATTTATGGATTATATCCTTGCTGCCATGGAAGGCAATAAGGAGCTATGTTATATGTGTTTAACATCTATTTTGATGCCCATTTGCTAAGTGTATGCTTGCTGAAATTTAATTGAAAATAAATCTGAATTTGAAATGTTCTTTGCAAACTAAATTTGCTTTATGCTAAAATTATCCCATGTAAGCTTTACTTTGAATACGCCATGCATGTAGAGTATTAGGCTTGCTTGGTGCTTGCCAGTACAATTTATGTACTGACTCTTGCGTGTATTGTTGTATTGTTGCATGTTTAGAATTGGTTGCAGGTGAGATCACTCTATTTCGATGGGGATGTTTCTTTCTTCCAGGATGGTTCTTACTAGGGTCTACCCTAGTCGGTTGCAGGAAAGATCTTTTGGGTAGAAGATGCTTCCGCGAACCTAACTATTCGGCCAATCGGCCATACTTATCTAAGTTATAAGTTGTATAAACTTAACTAAAACTTAGAACTTAGAATTCCCTATGTTGAGATATCATGTGCTTGAATGAAAGTGTTTAGTGTGTTCCTTTTGTTAGGGACATATTAAACATGAGTATGAGTTAAAGATATTTGAGATGTTGTAGATCTTTAGCCATTTTTGTTAAGTCTTCTGAATGTGTAACACATCTGGTTGCCGTCTTCGAGTGGTTTGACAGGCACATCTCAGGCTGAAGTTGACTGGCAGGCTAAAGGCCTAGCAATGTCTCACATATCTTTCTCTCGGAGCGTCGAATGTCTTAATATGTTTGATGGAAGAATTGTGTATAGCTATTCATCCTTCAAATATACTAATGGGTTCGGAGTGCTTCCGACACTAAATCGGGCGAACCATATATCCGTTTCGACTGTCTCAACGAGAGATTCAATATGGTGGACTCAAATATATATTTGGCCTCATGTTGTTGGTGGTTATGGTGCGCTTCTTTATAACTCAATCGGAAACTCTCCAAAATGTTCAGAAATGAACTTATTTATGACCTAACCTTGCAAAACATGTTGAACCAATAAAACTCATGGAATTCTGTTGATTTAAAGAAAGAATGGCAAGGTAACATGTTATCTTCTTTTATTTTACTAAAATGTTGGTGGTTGTATTATGTTTAATGACAACCAACACCTACAGTATTACAAACACGCTATTGATTAGCCCATAGAGATTAGAGTCTTTTCCTACCCACAAAACATATAAATTTGAAGGTAGGAGTATTTCCCTTTGTTTTTCATGTCCTCTATGTAATCTTCAAGTGATGGTATCTTACACAATTATTAATACAACATGTGCTTTAAATATTTTGAAAACTCATTCAAACATAAAAACAATGAAATTACTGTCATACTGATACCATCCAACGTATCAAATCTTGTGCATTCAATACTGCATTTATATATGCCTTGCCTACATTGTTTTTATTCCCTCAAAGCATTAAAAAGAATATCACCAAATCTGTTTCCACCCTATAAATAGTATCTCTTCTTCATGTATCAATACCAATCTTGGAATCTTCCAAGATAATCACAATGAGGGAAAGTCGAGTGATTACAGTAACTCTTCTTCTATCGCATATGTTGTTCTAATCATAGGGGGGAAGAAATTCAGTATATAAGCCAAAGGGGAAATACTAGTCAAGGTCTCACAAATTATGGGGTTAATAAAACCATCGAGGTAAGTGCAAAATTAGATCTTTTTGTACATACATAGCATCTTGTTTTGTACCTAACAAGCAAAAAGAACATCGTATCAGGCTGAAGATGGTGATGTCTATGATTGCATCAATATGAATAGACAACCAGGCTTTAACCATCCATTGTTGAAAGATCATACAATTCAGGTAAAGCACATATTTCACCCTAACATTTGATATCATGTCTAATATGTTGCTAAAAAATTCTGAATACATATATAGAGAGATAATAATTAAGTATGTTATTATAGTCATAAATCAAAATACAAGAGTTTTGGGGGACTATAGTATTTTTTTTTTGTTGGGGGGGGGAGACTAGAATATTCACTAATTCAGCTTGTTTTGGATAAAATAGTAAATTTATTTGTTTGTTACACTTCGACCTGGCACTAAAGCCAAAAAAATTTGCGTATCTTTGCTTCATCATGAAAGAATGTAAAGTACAAACCAAATCATACTTAGGATTTTTTTTTTCATAGTGCGATGTAAACTCATCGTTTGTAAAATGGTCATGTTTTCGTTTGTCAATTAGTTGAAACCAAGCTCTTTACTAATGGAGATGGATGTTGAAAATCCATTTATATCTTCCATATCAGAAGCACAACTACCTAGCTACTGCAGAATGCCCTATAGGAACCATCCCAGTACTACGCAACAAGAAACAAGACTATCTCAATTCAGAATACCAATGCAGTCAGCACCAGTCAACAAAAAAAGGTAAGATTTTTGTATCGAGTTGTTCATATGTCTAGCTTCATAATAGACTCACAAAACCACTATATTACTATTGGTCTATGAAAAAGCTATACAAAAGTATTGGATGTTTTCATATTTAAGTGCTAATAAATGAACTCAATCAATTTTGTTAAATGAAATATGTGTTGCTCTGTATAACTCAAACAGATACACAAAACCTAAATATTCCCTCGACCTTGCATTGTTTTAGTTTGACTACTTCTATTTTCTATTTTATAGATAAATTTATAAGTACTAAAAATTACACCGTGCTAACGTAGTATGTTACATGGTAAATATAAACATATGAATTCCATTTATCATAATCGAACAATTTAAAATATATCAGTGGTCAAAGTAAAGCAAGCACCAGTCAAGATTATAAAATATTAAGAAATTGATGGGGTATTATATAATGGCCCCTTAATTTGAAGTGCTATTTGTTAGTAAGATTATGGTTTTTCACTTTGACATCCCTCTTTCAAATAAACAAGTCCTTTGTCGATATTTGTTACCCAAATTACCAACTTTAAATTATTATATTTCTGAGTACCATAAATTTATCTTACATAAGCTTATGAATAAATATTAGTTTATTTATTCTGACTAGCTAATGGGTTTGGAAAAATATGCCCCACCCATCAGGTAAGATTCAATTCTAGCCATCCATTCTTTTCATCTCATTTAATCCTAGGCATCCTCTCCTTTTCATTTCCCAACTCCACCTCCCATAACCATTTTGCCAAACAGGGTCTAAGTGTTGCACATTCAGTCCTTCATGTAATTAACATGCTGCAAAATTTCGTATATGTATTTACGTTATTTTGATTCATAAATGTTTTTTTTCCTTGTAGAAAGCAGGGATAATATATTGGGATGATATATATATGGAATAGGGGTCACAACAAATGTTTACGAGCCAAAGGTGAAGCATCATTGGGTTCCTAGTGGATCATGGATACAAATTGAAAATGGCACAGGATGTGGAGATGTGGTTAGTGCTAGCTCTTGGGTCTAGCCAAACTTCAGCGATGATAACTTTGCTAGGTTTCATATTTTTGTCACGCCCGGAAATTCACTGGTAATTTCCGAACTTATTTGTGCATAAAATCCTCGTCCAGGAATCAGCCGAGGTACACAAACTGACAATTTAATATACAAATCCATCATAATAATAACGTTACACACTTATAATATCCCAAGGTATCAAGGAATAAAGTAATCAATGCAAACAGGCCATAACAAAGGAATAGATTCACACCACCCAGTGACATTCGAAAATAAATGCACAGTTGAAATAAATAGAGAATTTAAATATAGGATCAACATGCTCAAAGGATTGTGTTTAGGATCTCTGTTACTTGCCTTGCAATAATCGGTCTTCAATTAATCTTCTGAACACTCCCGACGCACTCACGAACCTTCGCAACGACGGAAACGACAAGCTAACACGCAAAACGAAGAAAAGACTAATAAAAACCAAATAAACAGTACATAAAAAGTAAACAAACATGTAGATCATAATTTTAGATGAATTATGAGACTTGAACGGCCTCATTCTAACTTCATATGAATTTATTACGAATTTTACAAGATTTAATCTAATTAAAGCCCATTTAAAAAGAATTAAATAAATTTAATTCTATTTATGGATAATTTTAATATGTAGATCTTTATTTTATATAACTTTTGCAACTTGAACCACATTAAACTGAGTTACAATGAATTAGTTATGAATTTTCAAAGATTAAATCGGATTAAATCCTTTATATAGATTTTAATTGAATTATGACGTAATAATGAATTATTTTTGAAAAGGAATAGAGGATTATTGCGTCAGCGGGTCGGGTTCATGGTGGACCGGGTGCACGGCGGCGGCTCACGGAAACGAACGGCCGAGATCTATCAGTCCACGGCCGGACCACGGGAGACGACGACGATGACGTCAGCGGTGACGTCATCACCAGCGACGACTTGGGCACGCATGCCCGCCGGCGAACGACGGCGCGGCGGCGCGAAAGGAGAGCACCAAAACGATGCGGGTGACGCAGCGAACTCACCGGTGACCAAAACAACGGCGGAAGATCAACGGACGGCAACGGTTACGAGCAAGAAGCGGCGACGACCTTCGGCTTGACGACGGCGATGGTGTTCCAGCGGTCGACAGCGACGGCGGAGGGGCGGACGAGATCGGCGACGGCTTGGTGATCCCGACGGCGGCTTTCCCGAGCGACGACGACGACCGGAGCGACGGCGGCGCACGGCTGGACAAACGACGGCGCAAAAGCTCACGGGGCTAGGGCGCTACAGACGGCGGCGGGCGAAGGCGAGAGTGGCTGCGGGTAGAGGGGAGCTCGGGGGTCCTTTTATAGGGGCAAGGAGGCGGCGGCGAAGGCCCACGGCGACCGGCGACGCGAAGGAAAGGTTAGGGTTCGGAGAGAGAGACGAATCCGATTCGAGATCGAATCCACGAGTTTCCAAACCGAATTAGGCGATGATTCCAAAAGAGAAAAGGTAGAGGACATCGAGAAGATCATTTCCCCTCTATTGATTTCACCGGATCGGGAAAGGGGCGAGCGAATTTGGAAAGGCGGCGGCGGTGCGGCTCGGCTAGGGTTCGGCCGGGCGACGGCTGGAGGAGGAAGACAGCCCTGATAGGTGGGCCCCACCTGTCAGCGGGCGAACGCGCGCGCGGGCGGCTGCTGCCGGACTGGGCCGAGGGAGAGAGAGAGAGGTTTTGGGCCGGCTTTCGGCCCAAAGCCAAAAGAGACTTTTAAAAACCTTTTTTAATTTAAATTATTCATGAAATGCAATTCCATTTATTAAAAATACTTTCTTGGCTCAAATAAATCCCAGAAAAATCTAGGAACTAAAGATTCAAGAGAAGTATTTAACAAAATTTTATCTAGCCCAATTTTATATTGAGATTTAGCAAATTAAAATTAGATATTCTCTTTTAGGCTTTTAAGATCATTTCTAATAATTCCTTTTAAACAACAATTTATAATTTAAGGATTTTTAAACAAGAAAAGCTCTTAACAATTATAATTAGATCATTAATGATCAAATAATTACTGAACTGTTCTTTGTATCATTTAGGAATTGAGCTCCGAAAAATCCGAGAAAATTTCAGAGAGTATACTTAATCATGGAGAATTTAATAAAAGTTAAATCCATCCATGCTTTAAATTTAGGAAATTTTATTTCCCACATTTAACTTCACTTGTAAATTAATGAACATTTAATATAAATTCTAATAATAATTTATTAAATAATTTAGAAATCCTGAAACAAAAATCAGGATGTGACAATTTTCTGGGTAATCAATATACATTTTGCTACGAATACATTGGATTATACAGTACATATTTTTCCTACTAATTTATACCGCTTTGAGATGGTATAGAGCTATATTTTCCATTTTTAGGTATTGACTTTGGAATAAATTTCGCTACAGAATGATGAAGCGCAAAACAAATCTTGCACTGACCACAGCCGTCCTGGTTTCGTTCAAGTTAGCAGCAGTGTTGTTCTTGGATGAAGATTAAACCATGCTTCCGTCTATAATGGAACACAATATAGAATTCAAGTTCTTATATTTAAGGTACTCTCTATTTTACATGAAATTCAATATGGTTAAAATTACGTGGTTCACTATTATATTAATTAAGTTACTCAAGATATATAAGAAAACACCAATTTTGCATAATATGTTATATCTACATACTATATTCAGAAGTACATCTGATGCATCAAGAGCAATGCTTAGATTATCTTGCATGTTAGCACAACATTACTGTTGGCGGATGGCATGAGGCCTTTCGACCAAATCTGCCGAAACCCGTGGCAAAGGCTATGGAGCAAGAATGGCGAGAGGCGAGGGGTCGTGCGAGTAAGCCAGAGGCGTCCCAGGCGAAGGGTGCAAGGCGAAGAGTATCTGCCGAAGGAAGACGACTTCGCCATGGCAAGTTCGCTCCCGCGAGGGCCGAAAAAGTCTTTCCGACCCATCAGGCCTAGGGGCTATAGGGCCGGCGATCGCCCGACGGCCCATCAGGGGCCCATGAGCCTCCATAACATTATGTACCCCTGTAAATGTCCCTTTCGTAAGGGCAACCATGTAAATTTCCCTGTATAACCTAAACCCTAGTAGTAAGAACCTGTAATGGGGCTATAAATAGTCCCCTAGGGCCATGTAATGGGGGGATCCGGAGTAAAAAATTCTAAAATTAATACACTTCGTTTCTTTCCAACCACTGTTGAGTAACCACGTCTTTCGACGTATGCAGTTGTCGTTTCGACAACAATTACAATAAAAGAAGCTTACTACAAATCTTAGATCATAATAGACATTTCCCTAGGGTCTTCCAACAATACCATTTCACTTTGAATAGAGAAAAGACGTTATATTATACTAACTTTGTTCCCAAATACTTGTTAGTATTGACCATCACTATTCTAACTTTAATTGTTAATAACATTAAGGGGCAATTGTGTTTCTGCCCTTGCTTTACATGTCAATTGTGATTTTACCCCTACTTTTTAAGGTTTGTGATTTTGCCCCTGCTTTTTTGAAACGAAGCAGCCGTCTGCCCCTGGTTTGGACGGTAGTTTGGTGGGCCCGGGATTTCCAAATTAAACGAAGAAAGAAAATGCTATTATAATTTGTGAATGACTATTCTACCCTTGCTTCAATGAAACAACCAAATCCCCAAACCTTGTTGTCCCCGATCCAATCGAAAACCCTAGCTTGCTAGGTTGCAAGCAGCGGCGGCGGTGGCTTACGCGACAAGCGGCGGCGCGCAGCAGGGAGGAGCGGCGGCTCGGGCCAGCACGCGGTGGAGTCGGGCGTGGGCAGGCGCGGCGCGGCGCGGCGGCCCCGAGGAGCGGCGGCTCCGTTGGCACGGCGGCCCCTCGGCGGAGGAGTGGCAGAAAGGAGCGGCGGCTCCGTCGGCGCGGCCTCGTGGTGTTGCACAAGCCAAAACATGTCCAGGGGTATATTTGTCCATTCACCACACATTTAAGACTGTTACCATTAGTTAACAGAGTAGGGACATGCGGCTGCTTCGTTTCAAAAAAGTAGGGCAAAATCACAAACTCTAAAAAGCAGGGTAAAATCACAATTGACATGTAAAGCAGGGGCAGAAACACAATTGCCCCTAATTTTAAATAACTAAGACTTTGACAAATGATTAATGCTTATGTTTAGGACACAACACACTTTGATAATACTTTATCATTCTAAGATTTTTTCTTTTTTTGAAAAAGATGAGTGGTAAAAGTTAAAATTTAGATAGTAACTAATGGCAAGTGTATTTAGAAACGTAGGGAGTACAAAGAAACTCTTGTTAAAACACCTAGAATATAAAAAAAGAACAATACCGTGTCATGTGCATTCAATGGCATGTTGCCCCTTGCACACTTTTGAACACAAATTAAATTAATTTTAGGACCCGAAGACTAAAAAACTGACGGTTGGTATATGGTGAGAAGAATACGGCAATAGGATATTGGCCAAGTTCTCAATTCAGTTACATGAAGGTAATGGGCAGTTATACAAAGTGGGGTGGATATGTTCAGGGTCCAACCGTCTAAGAAAATTCTCCACAAATGGGTAATAGACATTTTGCTTCAGAAGCTTATGGCACAGTGGCTTTTATTAGGGACATCCTGATCGTGAATGAGAACAAGAAGCTTGTTAATCCAAACCCCGTTAAAGCCTATGCAGGATCCTGTAATCCAAGTAAATATACCTGGACTACCTATACATTTGTCGACAAATTTTTCCTCAAAAATTGACAGATGTAATTATAGTTCAATCGTAGTGTAATTACACTGTAACTTATATGTAATTACACTGTAACTTGCATGTAACTACACTGTAATTTATATGTAAGTTTCACATAATTTTGAATCGTTAGATCTATTATAAGATTTATTTTGATGAGAAAAAAAAACAAATCATAGCACACACATATGTGAAAGAATTTGTTCCCATGACCTCTATTTTACCAAAATAACATGTTATGGAGAGATTTTTAAAAGTTACATACAAGTTAGTTACAGTGTAATTACATGCAAGTTACAATATAATTACACTACGATTGTACTGTAATTACATCTGTCAAAGGAAAAATTTGTCGACAAATATATAGCAAAATCGACCTCCGATAGTTATGGAATTAATGCTTACTGTATGCATGTATACTACGGTGGACCAGGTAACTACAGCTAATGGTGTACTCTGCAAGCTATAATAACATATGTAATTGTATGCAAAATAACGGGATTCAAGGGCTCAAGCCACCACCATGGATACACCTTCTAGCTATAATTTCTTCAATTATTTGCAACCACTTTCCCACTAGATTTTTTTTTTTGTAAGTAGTAAAGATCTCCTTTTGTAATGAACAAGTGGGCTATGCAAATTAACAGACCAAGATAACACACATAGACAACAGGTAGAGAATCTGATTCAAGGAAAATTTGCACAATGGCTAACTAGAGAACAAAAAATAGGGTACAGACCTGAACAGCCCACAGTAAGAACCAAAAGATCAATCAATGGTCCACGTGTAAAAGAATTACAACAGATAAAGCTGTGACAGTGTGAAACTTTGTTCCTCTCGCCGTCCTAATTACCTTCCCTGTGTGACTTACAACCTAGTCTTAGCTCTGAATCAAGTTCCTTCCCTGGAGCGTCTCATGCTCTCATCAATCAACTTGAATGTCTTCTTTACAAGTTTCTGGTCTAGGGCCGTAGTTCTGTAGATTTTGAAGACGCGGTCCACACGGTCAGGCTTGCTGCTCTGGAAGTAGAGCTCTTCAAACTTCTTCTTGACAAACCTGTAAAACGTCACTCCAGACCATAAGCCACAGTAATGATGAACGTTTGATACTATATAACATTAGAATGGAAAAACTTATCAAGGCATATAAGTGCACCATGCAGCAACATTACAAATGGCCAAATGCCCATGTTCATCTGAGAGGGCGAGTAGTGCACTCACTCATATGCATGTTCAACCTCCTGTTTCCCAGGTGCAATAGGCTGGTAGTCTTTAAACCACTCGCACACACTTAAAGGAACCTACGTAACCAGCGTAAACATAAATGTTGGTAACATTTAGTACTAAACTATGCATTGGTACAAAGAGCAGGCCTTACCTTTTGTATTTTCTTCTCGAATATATCAAATTTGTTGAGAAACAGAATGAATGATGTTTTCTGATGGTCAATATAGCACCGTAATTAGTTTCAAAATGAGAAAAAAAGCATGAGCACAAAGGTTGCAGAGATGGATGCATGCAGACCTCAAAACATCTTTGCTTTAAAACCCAGTCAAAGAGTTCCTTGGTCTCCATCATTCTGTTTTTTGTCTCATCTTCAAATAGCATCTGATCATATCTGAAATGAACAAGAAGCCTATGAGAAGAACTTAGCAGATTAGGATAAGTTCAACAATCAAAAAAATTGTACTTACTCGCTAATGGCAGCACAAAAGATTACCGCATTAACACCTTCAAAAAGATGAATCCACTTTCTCCTCTCATTCCTCTGGCCTCCTACATCATACAACCTATATACCTCTCCACCTCTTTTGTTTTCTCCAACAGGACTGCAGAAAGAAACCCAGTTAACTAGATGATTCAACTCATCTTAAAACAGCTACATTCAGAACCTCTCAGGTCATATCTTAGAAGTGAAAGGGGAGAAAAAAAGGACTTCAACTTGTCGTTCTGTACATAGTAGAGCAACCAGCAAAAAAATGTGCAAAAAATAGTGTCAGCAGATTACCTAAATTGTATTTGTACAACACCATTTGTCCGTACTCTTGCATAAAGCACATCCTCCTGCAAAATGACTCATAATATTGACAACTATAATACTGCAAGCATTCTTAAGTATGGAAGATCAACTACCAGCCTTTCAAACGAACCATTAGACAAGGTACAATCACAAATTATCCATCAGACTGCTAAATGCAGAAATATGGAGTCATATCTTCACTTAGCACACACAATGTTAATTGGAATTTTGATGCAGTGTGGACTTAAACAAGTGACAAACAATTTTCTATGCTTAAGAAATGACGGGAAATGGTTGCAAAAGTGGATGGTACAGTGATCATATTTGTGGTTTGCAACTTATTGAAGGAACTGAACAAAAAAAATATATGCTAGTGTCATAAGATTAATATGTGGGAACTCAAAAGCTCAAGGTGCTTAGATAAGTAGAGTTTTATTCACAGCAGTTTTGCACCCTATGTTTCACAGGGACATTTTTTACCTTCGTTATGTAGACTGCGTAATAACGGTAGAATAATAGTTTCTCCTCCCTAATATTGAATTTTAAAGGATAGCCTCCAATATTATTTAAAAGATAAGGATAAACATATGCCCATCTTTTAAAACTATTTGGCAACCTCTGACTCAGTACACATAGTTAACCATTTGACAACCTCTGACTAAGTAGACTAAAAATCAACATGAAATGGTGTCAGCACAAATATCTGAGAATATGTAAATAATTGTCTATGAACATGGACAGCACACCTTTGTTGGCACATAACCTGCTTCAGCTAATCGATCCAAATTTTCCATGAAGTATTGTGCACAATCAGGAAGTTGCAGAATACTTCCACGTAAGTAAGTTTCCTACAGTATAGAGCATTGCTTCAGCACACCTGGCCAGGAAAACTATATAACTTCAAAAGATTTGAATGGCTATTTGTTTTCACCTGAATGGCTGGGTCTTGCCATAACCTTTTTACATCGAGTACAAGTTCTTTGTTCAGCAGTGGATAATCCAACCTGCCATCAATATCTGATAGTTTTTCTCCAATTTCCTGATGATATGACAAAGTAAATGACATCTAAGAAACAAAATTGGTTGGTAAGGTGTACAGTGTGAAACTGGTGATATTTGTCTTTCAATGCCTAAGAAAAGTCAGTTTTCCTTTAAAGTTCCAAAGCAACGGAACAAGGTAAATGCACAAAGGTATACTTTTTTTAACCTGGTTGAGAAAAAAATTGAATCTTATAACACCCACATTTGATACCAAGTTATTTTTAGCATATCAACAATTGTCTGAAGCAATCAAATAAACAAGGAAGAATAAATGTTACAAAATCTCATTGTTCTTTTCTACTTTGTTCAGTACATTGTACGGTTCAATAGATATCTTTTTCAAGTTTTCATTATAGAATGACCGTGTAAAATATAAGACTACAATAGAGCCGAGCACAGTCTACAAGGTCTTAACAGGTTAAAACATAGAGCCGAGCAGCTTGACTACAACAGAAATGTTGCAAATCAAAATGTTTGTATTCCCAGATTTAACAAGACATGTTCATATGCACAGATTTAGCTTTAACTGTTGAGTAAAGAGTAAGCACAAACCTGGTTATCTGGGGATATAACATACTTTGAGGAATCTGATTCCACTTGTGAGAGTTCTTTTGCTCCTTCATATAGTATCTGTTAACATTTAACACATTACTCGACAAAAAGGAAAAGTATGAACGCATTTCCTTATGAACAGAATACAAATCCCTAGTCGAATCTCCTACATAATCCCCACTTTGCAATAAGAAAAAAAAGACACACCCTTTCCAGTATTGCATACTTTAATTGTCTGATAGACGTTTGCATGGATAACTGATGTGTAGCTCCTAAGTTCTGCCTCATCAAAGCCAGTTTGGAAAAGGAGCTTAATCTGCAGGTGAACAGTAAGAATACATCAGACTAACTAGCGGCGTACGGATTATGATTCTCCATGGAATATAACATTCATCACCTGTTTAAATATCGTAGACTTCCCTGATTCTCCCGCACCTTAAAACAGAAGCAATTGAGAGAGAGAAAGAAGGATGGATCCACATTGAGAACAAGTTCAAACTAAAAATTTCTAGGATACATTTATTTATCTTCTTTTTTTTTGGAAATAACATGAGAAAGGTTTTTTTATAGAGGTAAATAGGAACAACATAAACAATTAATTTTCTGAACCAATAGATACTAAAGGTAGCACAGATAATTGTGACAAGGAAAATGACCACTTAAATTTGGGAAAGTTAGCAATACCAAGAAGTAAGAGCTTGTGGATGTGTTGCTCTGCTTTTGTCTCTTGCAAAATTCGCCTGTCAATGTCTGCAGACTGTTACCAGCTGAATTAGAAGAAACCAAATGTGGCAACTCTCAAATCAAGAATTGAGTTAGCATTTACTTGTTCAATAAGTCCGAGTGCTAACTTACTTTTGCATTTTTGGTTGTTTCAGCCTCACTTAAAGAATGAGATCTGCTACAGGATGAGCCCATGTTATCAAGCACACAGGTAAGCACGGACATTATTTTAGAGGTATGCTCTCATGCCTGAGCCTCTCTCTTTCCAGGAAGCACGTTGACGTCTAGATCTCAGGATCCATGAGCTGCATACATGAGCAGTAAGCTCGAGCGAAATGTGGCCAGCATTTGAAAAGAAAAGATTGTACAGAGTAATGGTTTGCATAGTTCAATATTGCTGACCCACATTGTTATACATATCCAGAAATATTATATGAAGGAAAAACATTAGTAACCATTTTCCGACCAGGATTCATTTCCGACCAGGATCCATTTCAATCACTGACACTTAATAAATAATACGTGAAAATATTTAGAAATACATCAATATCATTGTTTAATAATAATACATCAACATCATTGTTTATTAATAATATTTTTCCTTGCGACGGTGGGGAATGGGGGCAAGGAAAGGGAAGGTGGGGGGATTGGATGGTTTGAGTGACTCGGGGAGGGAAGTGGAGCGAAGCCTCCCGGGAGATAAGATTTGCGCAGAGGCACGCGTGGCCTACGCATTGGCACCGCTGGCCTCCATTTGGGCCGTCGGCTTCACATCTGACGGGGTTGGTGTCGAGGGCTCGGGGCCCCGGTTTTTGCGTTTTGAGGGAAATGCGTTCCATATGTTTCCGACGAGGAGTATTCCAGAATAATACCTACTACATTTTTTATTTCTTTTGATGAAAGTAGGTAAGGTGTCTATTTTGATTGGTAATAAAGAACATAGTTTACATAAATATTACATATGCTCTAGCAGATAAATAGTTAAAACATAACGATTTTTTACCATAACGGTGGGGGGAGCCAAACTAGAAATTAAGAAATTAGGAGTAAACATTAACCAAAAGTGCATTCTATTGTTATTAGATTGTACTTGGCATATATCATTTTGTTTTTTTATTCCAAACTATAGTTGATTTGAATTTACTAATTACCTAATTTAAATATCTATATTATTAGTCTAAATTATTTTTAAAATTAAAAATATTAAAATATTACAGATATATCACAATGTTTTAGGGACGGGAAGACAAAGTACGTTCAATGGTTTCAATTTATAACCTGATAAAGAAAGAATGTTAAATTAGATTCATGCCAAGTGTCACAGTATGTCCTTTAGAAAATTTTGTGGAATAAAAATTACTTATAAGAATATACCTTGATAAAAAGATATTTTGTGTGACTATGGGTAGTTTGTGGTCTAGATTCTTCTTAAGAAATTTATGTGAGTTTGGATGAGTACAAATTATGTGAGCTTACATTTTTCGTTCTAAGGGTGTTTGGATGAGATTCAATAACCAAATTACATCTGCTAAAAACGGAAATCAAAATTAACAACTTGAAAGTAGGTGGAGCTGGGCAGAGGCAGATCTAACCCTGTTTCGGTTGAACCCCCAAACTTTTTGAGGGATAACGCAGAATACCTGATGAGGTGTGGGTAGGGAGGGATGCTCACCGGCGAGCGACGATGCGGTGGAAGAAGGAGGACGCCGGGCGCCACCTCTGCTCGCAGGATGGGGATCGGCGCAAGCGGCGGGCGAGGAGACGAAATTCGAGGCCGAGGCCGGATGGGATGGATTAGGATGCGAATGCGGCGGGAGCAGGAGGACGCCGGCGCCACCTCTGCTAGCAGGATGGAGATCGGCGCCAGCGGCAGGCGAGGAGACGGGAGTCGAGGGCGGCGGGCGAGGAGACGGGACGGATTGGGGAGGCGGAGGTCGTGCAGCGCTCTGCTGCCGCGTTGTCGCCTGCCTATGGGTCATATGCACAGGCGCCTCATCTCCCAAAAAAGTTCATCTAAGGTCCCTTATCTTGTCGTTGAGTTTTAAACGGCCCTGAACCCCTAATCTTGCAAAACGGTCCACTTTTAATCCCAAGGTAGTATTGCTTTCCGGTTTTGTTGACGTGGTGGCTGAGTCAGTGCAGGGCCCACGTGGAACCCACAAGCCAACTAGCAATCTTCTTCCACCTCACTCCCCTCTACTCCTATCTCAACCCAAACCTCTAGGGCATTCGCCAATGGGTGGGGAGAAGGGTGTCGGTTGGCAGGGAAAAGCTCAACGGCGGAGGCCGCCAGCTGACGTGGCTCCTAATGACCGGGAGCGCTCACGTCATGGACTTGCGCACGTGCGGGGTGTGGCGGGTCCCAACTACAACTGCTCGCCTTCTCCCCACCCATCGCCAGGCGCCGTCGTCGGGCACCGGCCACCACACACCTCTCCCACGATTCAGCGTCCTCTTCACATACAACTGCTCGCCTTCTCCCCACGCATCGCCAGGCGCCGTCGTCGGGCACCGGCCACCACACACCTCTCCCACGATTCAGCGTCCTCTTCGCTCCATGACGCAGCCGTCAAGAGCCCAGGGTGACTCACACCTTCCCTCCCTCGTGGGCCAAAGTCGGGAGGATGTTTGCATCCATATTCGATCGAGGGAGAAACCTCATTTTCTCCAGCAGCCGAAACATGCCAACTCCCGCCCCCCCGCAGCTGGGGTAACAAGCTCACGCCACCGAGCTCGCCAGGAGCGATGCGAGCGCGTCGTCTTTTATGCCGGTGTCAGTCGTCATAGATTTTCCATGTGGTACTAAAAACTTCGTTTTTGTGCGTGACAGTTGCGCGTAGAATATGTATGGGCTTTGCACGCACGCCGGCCCGAAGTCTCGAAATTATCCAGGATCATCATGCGCCGTCCCTCGTGAAGGCCGCCGCCGCCGGGTCCGTCGCCGGCGAACAGCGTGGCCACCGCCATAAGCCACCCGCTGATCCGCCCATGCACAACAGCCCATCCTGTTGCAGCCACTCCTCGCCGCCGGCACAACCACCACCACCGGGCTTTCTCACCGACACCACCGGCGACGGCAGCGGCAGCCTGACGGCCAATGTTCTGCACAATGTCAATCTCCTGCATATCAATCACACTCCCAACCCTGAAATGGTGGAATACCTGCTAGTATTCCACTGCAGATCAAACACTTTCCTTTGGTTGGCTTGTAGAGTAGAGATAGGGTACAGTCTGCAAACAGAATTGGTTCATCGGCACTGGATATAGGATACAGCTTGCATTGCAACAGAGTTTGCAGAATGCATGGCTTTACTAAAGAGGGATCACCCTTACAATTTTTGCGCTGTTTTATTGGACTGAAAATTAACACAAATCAATGTACCCAGTGACTTGCCATCAGCCAAGCAGCTGTCTTTTCGGTTTCCAGATTGGATTCGGGTAAAGTTTAAGACTCCGGAAGCAGGAATTTTAGGCACTGTATTGCCATTAGATAATCGGGTGGATAATATACATATTGGTTTGCCAAACACTTGGAACAGGCCACAAATTTCGAGTTAACTTTTATTTGATTGAGGATTTCACAACCGGTTTATACAAGGTCTAGTACCCAAGAGAATAATAGCGTACTGAACAAACAAAGGGACAGGAAAGAACAAGGGCTGCTTCTGTCAAGAACCATGGTCACTTGAACATAAATGCAAGGTGAGATAAAACGATAATGGCGTTAGAAGAGGGAAGGAAGAAATGATCAGAAGCAGCAGGCTACTGGCATTGACACTTGATGGTGTTAACGATAATGTTAAACAAGTCGACACGAAAAAATCACTACTACTCCTACTCCTAAGCCTCAGTGAAGGAGGAAACGGAGAACATCTCTCTCGCATTGCAGTAAATGGTACTGCTGGTGCTGGACTCCTCACGTTTCTCAGCTGTTGAACGCTGGAGGTAGAACAGTAGTAGCACTGGTAAACAGTGGAAGTAAAATTTCATTTATGGATTATTAATTTGCTATTAAAGGACAGTTTAAACTGATCTAAAGCCAAGCTAACATGGTGAACTTTTGTGGCTAACGCAAGTATGGAAGGGTTGCCATACAATGTACAAGCTAACATGAACGTTATTGAAGCTGAAAAAACTATAATGTAATACTCCTATATCCTACTGACATGTCTGCACCATATATTGATCCATGAGACTCATTCCTGACTGGCCTTTTACTGGCACATGCATGGAACAATCAGCTTAAAGTTAACAGTCAGCTATACTGCATTTAGCTGCACGCCTGCACTACAACAGATTTTGCAACTGCCATTACATTGGCTAATAGAGAAAGCTAGCATACAGTTGAAAACCAAACGGAACAAACCCCCAACGCTTAAGAGCACATGAAAACCTGCTGCCAAAACTTTGATGTTACAGCTTACAATAACAATCAGAATGGTCTGGTGCTTCTGCGACAAACAAATGTTTCAAAACTCGTCCCTTTTGCACCATTAAATATTTCTCCCTAGGCCTTTCAAAATTGTGAAAAAGTATTATGAAAAATAGACTAATAAGCTCGCCTAAAAGCATATGACAAGCTACTGTAAAACACCATCCGTTTTGGTGTTTTGGATGGAACTAGATTTCTATGGCTTAAAAATGAAGTTACAGACATGAGAATTCACAGTTCCCACCGATGGTACGGCGCAGCATGAGCGTACAGTTTGTGAAGTGATTTACCAGTTCATGCTCACTTAGTCACTGCAATTTGCGTTAAAATTGCATATTGCCAAAGCATTTTGTCCAATGAAGCCTCATGGAATTATCTCCTGCTGTTTGCTGTTTGAGCCTTGTTTAGGTTTGCAAGTTCTTCAATCAGCTTCCTCTCGTCGCTGCTCAGACGCTTTGGAATCTCGACCTGCACACGCACTAGCTGGTCTCCACGAGCATTTGACTTCCCGAGGAGTGGGACACCTTTCTTGGACATCACTAACGTTGTGCCTGGCTGGGTACCGGAGGGGATCTTCAGGTCAACCATCCCATCAACAGTGGGAACCTTGACGGTTGTCCCAAGAATTGCGTCAATATATGAAACTTTGCATGTGTATAGAATGTTTGTCCCATCTCGCTTAAGAACAGGATCAGAGAGAACATCAATAAACACATAAAGATCTCCAGGAGGGCCTCCTCTCCGCCCAGCATTCCCCTCAGACCGGACCCTCAATCTGCTTCCAGAATCAACACCAGCAGGAACCTTTAGACTGATCCTTTTTGTCTTCCGCACTCGGCCATCACCCCCACAAGTGTTGCACGGGGTAGAGAATTCACCAGTGCCTCCGCAAGTATTGCAGGTGGAGACCTGCTGGAATATTCCAAGTGGCGTTCTTGTTGAGGAGACCACTTGTCCCTGTCCTCCACATGTTTTGCATGTGGTTGGTTTCGTTCCAGGCTTGGCACCAGTTCCATCACATGTATTACAGCCTTCCAGTCTGGTGATCTCAATTTCTTTCTCTACACCAAACACCGCTTCCTTGAAATTGAGTACCAGATTGTAGGCCTCATCATCACCCTGCATTGGTCTGTTCCGAGCAGCACGGCCTCCCATTCCCCCCATTCCACCAAAGCCTTCGAATAATGATTCAAAGAGATCGAATGGGTTTGAGTAATCCTGCAGATTCACAAATTTCATACAATCAATATCATATAAAGGTCATGCTGATCATACTTCAGAATTGGACAACATTCTAGGAACACTCACTCCTGTTCCCATTCCAGCACCCTTCAAACCAGCTTCTCCATATTTATCATAGATTGATCGCTTCTCATCATCAGACAAAACCTGCAATCCTATTTATGTTAGCTGGCAAGCACCTGTAACCCTACAACAACATAGTCATAAGAAACAATGGGATTTGGTTATGGTTAGCTGGACTAACCTCATAAGCATTGCTAATATCCTTGAACTTTTGTTCAGCACCAGGATCTCTAAAGAAAAATACACAAGCATAACAATTGCTTATTTGATTATGTAGTTATGAAAAAGGTAATGCAACAACTAGTACTCAGGTTTATAATGGATCGAAAGGAGAAAAAGAAGCAATATATCGAGTGTAGCTGAAACACAATTCCCATATAATGGTTAGTACTTACTTGTTCACATCAGGATGGTAGCTCCTAGCAAGCTTCCTATAGGCTGGAAAAGAAGGACCATTTTAGAACTACAATAGAAAGCAACATTAAACTACTACACATATTTTGATCAAAATTGACTCTGAAGGATTTCTAACATAATATCCCCTTAGGCATTATTTGGATAGGACAAATCCTAGATTATCTACGGGTGTGGGTTGGGATTTTTGTTCAAAATTTCTGCCCACACACGTGGAGGGCAGGGATTGAGGGCCATACAAACAATGCATCAATGAGAAGTTGCCAACAATAGATTTTCAGAAATATAAACAGTATCGAGTCTAGAACGCAAGATGATCAGTTGCAGAAAATGATACTGAAGACAGCATAGGCTTGTCTTAGAATAGTTCAAGGGGTTTTGCTGAGATAGCCTTCAAATTAGATGAAATAGCAAATATTTGAGTTACTAGTAGGAATAGTAAAGCTTTCGAGAACAAACAAGTGGGCCATAAAGCTCACTATGGCCAAGTTTGAAAAAGACTAGTTATATATTTCATATCTTCCCTGGGAAGCTTAACAGTTTCTGTTGTACATATATTTTGTTTCACACGTGAACAGTATGATTTAAAACTAGTAATCTACGACTAATAGCCACATGAAAGCAGTCTGGTTTGTTTGGTAAATTATAGGGTACCTACAAACCTACAACCAGGCTCAAACTAGAGAAGAAGCAAAGCTGGGTAATACTCCTACGATTGTACGGAGCACCAATCACTGCATGCCCTAAACTGACAAATAAAACCACACCTACCACTCTTGATTTCAGATTTACTAGCATTTCTTGAAACACCAAGTGTGGAATAGAAATCCTGTAAATTAAAATATCAAATCCATGTCAGGAAACTGGATTTTCTAATAATACCAGCAAAGAAGAAAAGCAAATGAAGTAACTCACAGCATCAGCTCTGACAATGAACCTTGAACTCCTTCGATGGCGAAATCTCGGTGATGGTGCATGGTTAAATAGTCGAGAAGATGTCCGTGATTGTAAACTAGCAGTAGGTGATACAAGGTGTTTAAGCCTGCCTCCACTACTGCACAAAAAGAGATATATCATCTTCAGTTTACTCAGAAATCTTGCCTTTTTATAATATCAATGTGTCCTTTATTTTAGTATTCCTAGTACATCTCACTGATCAGAACACATTCACATACCCACTTTTCGACACCAGAAATCTTGGATCAGCATAAATAACTCTTGTAAGTGCAGGTGACCTGGGCAACAGCTGAGGTTTTTCCCCAAGTTTGGGGGCCAAGGTACCTCCAAACTGTAGCAACGCCATTGAAATACTTGCTGGATACCCACAAAGCTTCAACCTTCAATATACTAGCTGCCATTTCACAGAGATAGAGTCAGGTGAAGCATAACAAAAGCAATACACAAAAGAACGATATTCGAGTAAGTTCACAATTCTATTCAAAAACGTTCTCTTCTAAATTTTAATCAACCAACACATATCGACTGTCATTACTCCTTACTCCTTTAAGAGGATGAATAGGGGCGAGGGTGTGTACAACTGTACATACATATGTACTGCTTGCAGGAACTTTTTCAGAGATCATGGGCCTGCTGAGCAGCCATTGCTACGGTTGTGGATGCACACCGCGGCCACAGCTAGTAGCTTAGGTACAGCTGCAGCAGTGGCTGTCGAGCAGGGCGTGTATTATTTGCATGTATTTATATGTGGGATTGATCATCTCTTGCATGTATACACTTTTTTAGGTTCGAGGATAATTAGTTTTGCATTTTTGAGCTTACATACCATGGTAAATTTGTTATACATAAGAATTCGGCCATAACGTGCGAAGCTGGCAAACACTACGCTATATTATCTTCGAGGTGGAGTTGGTGGTTGTAATCGTGTGCTATGCATCCTTACCGATCCTAACATATCATATATGCAGATACATGGACACCATGAGATGCTCGGGTTTATAACATTCGGTATTATTTTTTTTTCTTTTTTGCTGCCGAATTTACCAACCACAAAAATATATAATACCTACCGGGCTGCAGCAAATCAGGACAAAAGCCTCTTGAAGAACTGCGGCAATAGGGCAAGAAGCGGTGGCGGCACGGCGCTGTCGGGCGTGACCACGCGAGGGAGGGGCGGGCGCGGGAATAGTAGGGCTAGGGATTTGGTCGGGGAGCTGTGGACGACGGGACACGGGAAGAGAGGGGAGGAATGGGGGATGGAGAGAGAGAAGAAGAAGTGGCACCTCGTCTCGAGCTGCGGAGGTCGTCGCAGCCACTCGGGGAGGGAAGTGAGCCTCCCGGGAGATAAGATTTGGGCAAAGGCACGCGTGTAGGGGGTGGATGTCGAGCCAGCTCGGCTCGGTCTAGCTAGGCTCGGCTTATTATCCTAACGAGCTAGAAAACCAAGCTAGGCTCGGCTAGTTGTCTAGCTCGAGCGGGCTCGTTTGGCTCGTGAGCCAAAGAAAGCAGGGCAAGCAAGACGACGAGGACGCGCGGCCACACGGGAGTAGGGGTGTCGCCCGCCGGGTAACTAGGCGATTCGCGCGAGGAAGAGGCGAGTTGGGGTCTTAGGGTGGCCGGAGGCAAGTAGGGAAGGAGACGGCGTGACCTACTGACCTTCCCGATAGCCAGCGTGAGGAGCGGATGGCAGCTGTTGACGTTGAGGATGCGAGGTGAAGCGGGGAGACCGGCGGCGAGAAAGGGCACAACCGCGCGCACAAGGAAGGGTGGCGCTACGAGCTACGACTCCTCGACTCCTGGGCGGCGCTGTCGGCCACTCGGCTCGAGGATAAGCGGCGCTTCTGGGAATCGTTGAGAAAAGGAACGGACAGGTAGGGAGGGATTTTAGGGTTAGACTATTGGGCTTATTATCTTCGAGGTGGAGTTGGTAATTGTAATCGTGTGATATGCATCCTTACCAATCCTAACATATCATATATGCTGATATATAGACACCATGAGATGCTCGGGTTTATAACATTCGGTATTAAACACTTTTTTTTTTGCTGCCAAATTTACCAACGAGAAAAATATACAATACCTACTGGGCTGCAGCAAATCAGGACAACCTCTTAAAGAACCGCGGCAGTAGGGCAAGAAGCGGCGGCACTGTCGGGCCCGATCGTGCGGCGTGACCGCGCGAGGGAGGCCTGGTGGGTGGGGAATAGTAGGGCTAGGGATTTGGTCGGGGAGCTGTGGACGACGGGACACGGGAAGAGGGGAGGAATGGGGGAGACGAGAGTGAGAGAGAGAAGGGCACCTCGTCGGCGGCACGCGTGCTCGAGGTGTGGAGGTCGTCGGCGGCCGCACCGCGGCGGTGGGGAATGGGGGCAAGGCGCGGCAGCGGTGGGAAATGGGGGCAAGGGAAGGGAAGGTGGAGGGATTGGATGGTTTGAGTGACTCGGGAAGGGAAGTGGAGCGGAGCCTCCCGGGAGATAAGATTTGCGCAGAGGCACGCGTGGCCTACGCATTGGCACCGCTGGCCTCCATCTGGGCCGTCGGCTTCACATCCGACGGGGTTGGTGTCGAGGGCTCGGGGCCCCGGTTTTTGCGTTTTGAGGGAAATGCGTTCCATATGTTTCCGACGAGGAGTATTCCAGAATAATACCTACTACATCTAAAATCATGTTCATTATTTATTAGTGTTGTTTTTTATTTCTTTTGATGAAAGTAGGTAAGGTGTCTATTTTGATTGGTAATAAAGAACATAGTTTACATAAATATTACATATGCTCTAGCAGATAAATAGTTAAAACATAACGATTTTTTACCATAACGGTGGAGGGAGCCAAACTAGAAATTAAGAAATTAGGAGTAAACATTAACCAAAAGTGCATTCTATTGTTATTAGATTGTACTTGGCATATATCATTTTGTTTTTTTATTCCAAACTATAGTTGATTTGAATTTACTAATTACCTAATTTAAATATCTATATTATTAGTCTAAATTATTTTTAAAATTAAAAATATTAAAATATTACAGATATATCACAATGTTTTAGGGACGGGAAGACAAAGTACGTTCAATGGTTTCAATTTATAACCTGATAAAGAAAGAATGTTAAATTAGATTCATGCCAAGTGTCACAGTATGTCCTTTAGAAAATTTTGTGGAATAAAAATTACTTATAAGAATATACCTTGATAAAAAGATATTTTGTGTGACTATGGGTAGTTTGTGGTCTAGATTCTTCTTAAGAAATTTATGTGAGTTTGGATGAGTACAAATTATGTGAGCTTACATTTTTCGTTCTAAGGGTGTTTGGATGAGATTCAATAACCAAATTACATCTGCTAAAAACGGAAATCAAAATTAACAACTTGAAAGTAGGTGGAGCTGGGCAGAGGCAGATCTAACCCTGTTTCGGTTGAACCCCCAAACTTTTTGAGGGATAACGCAGAATACCTGATGAGGTGTGGGTAGGGAGGGATGCTCACCGGCGAGCGACGATGCGGTGGAAGAAGGAGGACGCCGGGCGCCACCTCTGCTCGCAGGATGGGGATCGGCGCAAGCGGCGGGCGAGGAGACGAAATTCGAGGCCGAGGCCGGATGGGATGGATTAGGATGCGAATGCGGCGGGAGCAGGAGGACGCCGGCGCCACCTCTGCTAGCAGGATGGAGATCGGCGCCAGCGGCAGGCGAGGAGACGGGAGTCGAGGGCGGCGGGCGAGGAGACGGGACGGATTGGGGAGGCGGAGGTCGTGCAGCGCTCTGCTGCCGCGTTGTCGCCTGCCTATGGGTCATATGCACAGGCGCCTCATCTCCCAAAAAAGTTCATCTAAGGTCCCTTATCTTGTCGTTGAGTTTTAAACGGCCCTGAACCCCTAATCTTGCAAAACGGTCCACTTTTAATCCCAAGGTAGTATTGCTTTCCGGTTTTGTTGACGTGGTGGCTGAGTCAGTGCAGGGCCCACGTGGAACCCACAAGCCAACTAGCAATCTTCTTCCACCTCACTCCCCTCTACTCCTATCTCAACCCAAACCTCTAGGGCATTCGCCAATGGGTGGGGAGAAGGGTGTCGGTTGGCAGGGAAAAGCTCAACGGCGGAGGCCGCCAGCTGACGTGGCTCCTAATGACCGGGAGCGCTCACGTCATGGACTTGCGCACGTGCGGGGGTGTGGCACGGGTCCCAACTACAACTGCTCACCTTCTCCCCACCCATCGCCAGGCGCCGTCGTCGGGCACCGGCCACCACACACCTCTCCCACGATTCAGCGTCCTCTTCGCTCCATGACGCAGCCGTCAAGAGCCCAGGGTGACTCACACCTTCCCTCCCTCGTGGGCCAAAGTCGGGAGGATGTTTGCATCCATATTCGATCGAGGGAGAAACCTCATTTTCTCCAGCAGCCGAAACATGCCAACTCCCGCCCCCCCCCCCCCCCCCCCCGCAGCTGGGGTAACAAGCTCACGCCACCGAGCTCGCCAGGAGCGATGCGAGCGCGTCGTCTTTTATGCCGGTGTCAGTCGTCATAGATTTTCCATGTGGTACTAAAAACTTCGTTTTTGTGCGTGACAGTTGCGCGTAGAATATGTATGGGCTTTGCACGCACGCCGGCCCGAAGTCTCGAAATTATCCAGGATCATCATGCGCCGTCCCTCGTGAAGGCCGCCGCCGCCGGGTCCGTCGCCGGCGAACAGCGTGGCCACCGCCATAAGCCACCCGCTGATCCGCCCATGCACAACAGCCCATCCTGTTGCAGCCACTCCTCGCCGCCGGCACAACCACCACCACCGGGCTTTCTCACCGACACCACCGGCGACGGCAGCGGCAGCCTGACGGCCAATGTTCTGCACAATGTCAATCTCCTGCATATCAATCACACTCCCAACCCTGAAATGGTGGAATACCTGCTAGTATTCCACTGCAGATCAAACACTTTCCTTTGGTTGGCTTGTAGAGTAGAGATAGGGTACAGTCTGCAAACAGAATTGGTTCATCGGCACTGGATATAGGATACAGCTTGCATTGCAACAGAGTTTGCAGAATGCATGGCTTTACTAAAGAGGGATCACCCTTACAATTTTTGCGCTGTTTTATTGGACTGAAAATTAACACAAATCAATGTACCCAGTGACTTGCCATCAGCCAAGCAGCTGTCTTTTCGGTTTCCAGATTGGATTCGGGTAAAGTTTAAGACTCCGGAAGCAGGAATTTTAGGCACTGTATTGCCATTAGATAATCGGGTGGATAATATACATATTGGTTTGCCAAACACTTGGAACAGGCCACAAATTTCGAGTTAACTTTTATTTGATTGAGGATTTCACAACCGGTTTATACAAGGTCTAGTACCCAAGAGAATAATAGCGTACTGAACAAACAAAGGGACAGGAAAGAACAAGGGCTGCTTCTGTCAAGAACCATGGTCACTTGAACATAAATGCAAGGTGAGATAAAACGATAATGGCGTTAGAAGAGGGAAGGAAGAAATGATCAGAAGCAGCAGGCTACTGGCATTGACACTTGATGGTGTTAACGATAATGTTAAACAAGTCGACACGAAAAAATCACTACTACTCCTACTCCTAAGCCTCAGTGAAGGAGGAAACGGAGAACATCTCTCTCGCATTGCAGTAAATGGTACTGCTGGTGCTGGACTCCTCACGTTTCTCAGCTGTTGAACGCTGGAGGTAGAACAGTAGTAGCACTGGTAAACAGTGGAAGTAAAATTTCATTTATGGATTATTAATTTGCTATTAAAGGACAGTTTAAACTGATCTAAAGCCAAGCTAACATGGTGAACTTTTGTGGCTAACGCAAGTATGGAAGGGTTGCCATACAATGTACAAGCTAACATGAACGTTATTGAAGCTGAAAAAACTATAATGTAATACTCCTATATCCTACTGACATGTCTGCACCATATATTGATCCATGAGACTCATTCCTGACTGGCCTTTTACTGGCACATGCATGGAACAATCAGCTTAAAGTTAACAGTCAGCTATACTGCATTTAGCTGCACGCCTGCACTACAACAGATTTTGCAACTGCCATTACATTGGCTAATAGAGAAAGCTAGCATACAGTTGAAAACCAAACGGAACAAACCCCCAACGCTTAAGAGCACATGAAAACCTGCTGCCAAAACTTTGATGTTACAGCTTACAATAACAATCAGAATGGTCTGGTGCTTCTGCGACAAACAAATGTTTCAAAACTCGTCCCTTTTGCACCATTAAATATTTCTCCCTAGGCCTTTCAAAATTGTGAAAAAGTATTATGAAAAATAGACTAATAAGCTCGCCTAAAAGCATATGACAAGCTACTGTAAAACACCATCCGTTTTGGTGTTTTGGATGGAACTAGATTTCTATGGCTTAAAAATGAAGTTACAGACATGAGAATTCACAGTTCCCACCGATGGTACGGCGCAGCATGAGCGTACAGTTTGTGAAGTGATTTACCAGTTCATGCTCACTTAGTCACTGCAATTTGCGTTAAAATTGCATATTGCCAAAGCATTTTGTCCAATGAAGCCTCATGGAATTATCTCCTGCTGTTTGCTGTTTGAGCCTTGTTTAGGTTTGCAAGTTCTTCAATCAGCTTCCTCTCGTCGCTGCTCAGACGCTTTGGAATCTCGACCTGCACACGCACTAGCTGGTCTCCACGAGCATTTGACTTCCCGAGGAGTGGGACACCTTTCTTGGACATCACTAACGTTGTGCCTGGCTGGGTACCGGAGGGGATCTTCAGGTCAACCATCCCATCAACAGTGGGAACCTTGACGGTTGTCCCAAGAATTGCGTCAATATATGAAACTTTGCATGTGTATAGAATGTTTGTCCCATCTCGCTTAAGAACAGGATCAGAGAGAACATCAATAAACACATAAAGATCTCCAGGAGGGCCTCCTCTCCGCCCAGCATTCCCCTCAGACCGGACCCTCAATCTGCTTCCAGAATCAACACCAGCAGGAACCTTTAGACTGATCCTTTTTGTCTTCCGCACTCGGCCATCACCCCCACAAGTGTTGCACGGGGTAGAGAATTCACCAGTGCCTCCGCAAGTATTGCAGGTGGAGACCTGCTGGAATATTCCAAGTGGCGTTCTTGTTGAGGAGACCACTTGTCCCTGTCCTCCACATGTTTTGCATGTGGTTGGTTTCGTTCCAGGCTTGGCACCAGTTCCATCACATGTATTACAGCCTTCCAGTCTGGTGATCTCAATTTCTTTCTCTACACCAAACACCGCTTCCTTGAAATTGAGTACCAGATTGTAGGCCTCATCATCACCCTGCATTGGTCTGTTCCGAGCAGCACGGCCTCCCATTCCCCCCATTCCACCAAAGCCTTCGAATAATGATTCAAAGAGATCGAATGGGTTTGAGTAATCCTGCAGATTCACAAATTTCATACAATCAATATCATATAAAGGTCATGCTGATCATACTTCAGAATTGGACAACATTCTAGGAACACTCACTCCTGTTCCCATTCCAGCACCCTTCAAACCAGCTTCTCCATATTTATCATAGATTGATCGCTTCTCATCATCAGACAAAACCTGCAATCCTATTTATGTTAGCTGGCAAGCACCTGTAACCCTACAACAACATAGTCATAAGAAACAATGGGATTTGGTTATGGTTAGCTGGACTAACCTCATAAGCATTGCTAATATCCTTGAACTTTTGTTCAGCACCAGGATCTCTAAAGAAAAATACACAAGCATAACA